ACGAGATGTAAGGAAGAAATTTTTTACAATAAAGCTGGTGAGACACTGGTGCAGGTTGCCCAGAGAGCTGGTAGATGCCCCATCCTTGGAATCATGCAAGGTCAGGTTGGGCAGGGCTCTAAGCAATCTGATGTAGTTGCAGATGTCCCTGCTCACTGCAGAGGCATTGGACAAGATGACCTTTAAAGGTCCCTTGGTACTCAAACCATTCTATGATTTAAAAATAATTCTGCTCACACATTTAATGTCTTAATTTTTTTCTTCTAGACTATAGCATCAGAGACCTCATTGCCTCAGCTATCCTCTGCTGCTTTTTGCAGGGCTTTTTTGTGCTAGAGATATTAGAAGTTAGTTTGGTTTAGCACTAACTCATTCTCTTTCTAAATTCAATTTTCACATTAGTCAGTATCTCAATTTACAATTTATTTGACTAACTGCTTAATGACCTACGAAAAAATTGTTTTAAAACCACATGTTTGGTAGAGCTGCAGAAGAACATACATCACTCACTCCTTCCTGATCTTTCCACAGGTACTTGCTCACACATATACGATGAAAACAAATATCTTTCATGTGTCTCTGATGTGTTTCCTTTAGCTTCCCAAAGACTGATGGAAAAGGAGCTGTACTATCAAGACCAGCTTTCCCAGTCAGAATGACATAGATGAATTTTTCACTTTTATAACACCTTTACTTAATCACTTCCTTCATCTCTCCTTCAGTCTGCGTATCATAATTAATATTAATTGTTACACAGAACAATAAAGATTTTCAAATTAGGTAATATGGTTAAAATGTGCTTTTCCAAAATAAAACTTTACATATCACCAAAATATCCAATTAAGTCATCTACAGCTTTACTGAAGTGTTCCCTTCCCACTGCAAGTTCACAATCTTTCCCTTCCTTATCTGGCTCCCTTGGCAGTTTCTGATGTTTGTGTCAAAAAATGAAAGTTAAAAAATAGCCTACCTCTCATAGGAGAAATCTGTACAAGACATGTGGTTTGTTTAAAGACACCACAATGAAGAAACATAGACTATGTACCACTAGTATGGGGGAGTCAGGCAGTACCATTTGTATTCTTTAGGACTGGTTATTCCAAGAGGCTATGAAGACACGGATTTGTGTGTCTTCTACAGAAATGGACATGACTCACACAAGTATACACCAGACAGTGAGAATCATTTTTAGAGTAAAATTAGTTTGCTCTGCTTCTTGTCTGGAAGCTGTCTAGCAGAGTTAAAGATGCAGTCAGTTTCTCTTAAGAAGTTCACATACTCAAACCACCATCAAATCTTCAAGAAGCTCAAGAAATGGCAACGGGCATTATAAACCACTGACCAAAATTTCCCCAGTTCAATGCTAAGATTTTCTCTCAATCAGCCTTCTGAAAACAATGTGCTGCTTTGGTAGTGTCACAGAGCCAATGATGTGCAATCCTACCTGTCACTATGTCCTCCTTAGTACTGCCAGGATTATTCTTGCCAGGTGAGTCACTGTCCTTAGAGGGCTGTCAGCCTCTTTCACCCAGAAATAGGTTCTTAAATATTCCAGAAGAATTTATCACATGTCAGTCAAATCTGTGAAGGTATGGTTAAAAGAATTTAAGAGAACTGGGTGCCTGTTCCCATTCTGATGTCTTTCTCCTCATGTACTCTGCTAGAGAAGAAGAAAAAGTACTCATGGTACATTAGAAATATGATTTCAGACACAGGAGGAACCAAAAGCCACTGCTTCAAATAGAAGCAAAATATTCTAATACCTCACTGGTGAAGCAACACTTTTTCCCCAAGTTCTTGCAGGTGCAAGCACTAACCTCTTGTGCACAGGCACGTTGTGCAAAGCGCTGTTACAAGTGGCCTGCACCCCAGTCCACTGCTGGGCCGGGTCTGTCCCAGCGGGCTCAGCCCCCCTCGCTGGGGTGCAGCAAAGGCCCCCCTGAGGCCTGCAGGGGCCGCCACTCAGAGCGCGGTTGCCTGCCCGCGGGAGCAGCCTACGCAGCCTGCCTGGAACACAACGGTGTGTGGGCACACCACCCCAGCCTCAGCACAGTCCTCAGTGCTCTTCTAGAGTCCCACCCAACGTGGAGGTGCCCGTTTTCAGAACTTGCAACATCCCTTTTCAAGTCAGCGACCTGTGCAGCCAGCTTCACGTCCAGGGGCCAAACCCCAACCTGGCAGCTGAATCAGACAAATGTCCCATGTTGTGGCTCCCAGCATACACTAATAATCCCTCTAGCCAACACAAGGAAGACTGTATATAAAGTTTAGAAAGTTATTTGGGAGAGGAGACAACTGGGTTATATTCTCTGTTCAGTTAAATGATTTGTCCAAAGTACAGCAACTTTAGTGGGAGGAACTGAGATCCTTAGCAGCAAATACACTATAAAACTGACCTCTGCCTGGCTGAAGAACCTCAGTCATAGAGACCAAGTCCCAGATATCCCAGGGAAGCTTTTTAACCACGGATCTACAGATAAATCAGCATTGTGTTACTCCCTCAGCCTTCTGAGTCTCACAAATGAGACACATGGGAAATACATATATTTTATATACAAGGTGCAACACATCCAACAATAAAGCAGTGGCTTCGTGCTTCACGACCTAGTTGAATGTGTGCATGCTCAGCAGAGGCAACATAATTATCTGTAA